TCTTTAATCCCATGTGACTAAAATTAGATTGTGCAACTTTATTAGTAACTGTTACAGGTTAGAGCCATTTGAGTTCAATTCAATGTATGAGATGTGATATGAGATATGAGATGTGATAGAGATCAAAGACATTTTGATAGCTGAGGTTTTATGTTGTTCAGATGAAGGAAGATACAATATTTGTACTATATTGTATTCCACAGGACAGGGTCTACTGTATATTCTGACAATGTGAAATACAGCTGTGGCTTGGAGATTGTTTTCTTATTTTATAAGATAAATAAGCCATTCACTAGTTAAGCTGTTCTATGAATTGCATTGTGGTATCTTTATGTCTCCTGTATATTACTGTGCATGACACTTCGGAATATGTCCACAGAGACCCACGCTGAGCACTGAAAATGAACATCTATTGTACACTTTGCTGTACAGTATGAAAAATGTAAGAAAATATTCAAAAATTGGAGAGGCACTAGCAGAAAGTATGTTAATGTGCCAATAAATACAGAATCATGAAAGTACTGAAGACTTACAGTATCTTTGGTTACATACTTCTCTTTGAAGTTTTCTTCATCTGCCAGGTTGTTTCCTGGAATATTATTCTGTATAGATAGATAGAGATAGATAATACTTTATTAATCCCGTAGGGAAATTGATGTGTTACAGCAGTCCAGCCCAAGACAAGCAAAACAGACATCAGAATAGTTATAAAACAAAAGACAAACAAGATAAAAAAAATAAATACATAGGTGTGTGCAAAATGTGCTGATCATAGTCACAATCATAGTATCACAATAGTCACAATCATAGTCACGATCATAGTATCAATATGATTACATAGGAACATACAAATGCATTAAGAACAGTTTGTTTGCATAATACAAAAAATTGCACCCAGAGCCTCTTGAATTTATTAACAGTGAAAAGCCAATATATTGTATAGGTAAAGAGAAAGAGGGATGGTGCTCAGCATTGTCATCTACTGTATGTTTTCAATGCATTCAATACGGATTGAAATGTAGTCCCTTGCTCTCAGGATGGGTTTGCTGTCTGCATAGCTTAAAAAGCCACAGCTCTACTACCCAAGTGACATCTCTACCAATGCTTAACTCAAATGTACATTTATAACACTGTAGTGTGTCAACATTCACAGTATTAGATTGCTGTGCAGTGCATCTATTTCTACATACAGTACATTTCTTTTCTCTATCTAGGCAGAAAGCATTTAGCTGTAACTATGAAAATTAGGATGGCAGACTCTTCAGATGTTCTTAAAATTTGTTAGCTCAAAAGTGGGTCAGGACACTAATTAATATCAAAGAAAAAGGAAGAAATATGTACAGTAGTTTTACTTTTGAGCTATGGATAACCTAAGTGATGTTTAGTGAAGTGGTTGAGTGATGCACAAATCATATAAACATCCTGGCAAAAACAAATTGTACAGCTAGGCACACTTTCTAGGAACCTAAAATGATGGACAATGCAAACTATATATAATTACATGGTACAAATGTTTATTGTAGGGTAAGAAACCTTATGAATAACTAGAATATTTCAAATCACCTACAGTACAATGTGTGTAAAACATGACCTCTCTACAGCCTATTTTATGACCCTGTCCAAGCTCTACTGAAAAAAAACGAACTATCCCCAGACTTGACAGGTTGTAAATGGAAGTTGCTCAGAGCTGGGAAAGATTTAAACTCCTGTTAGGTCCATGAGACATCCCAGTACTGAAACTAACTTTCCTTAACTTTATCTAAGAGGGTTGAAACCCCAGTATAATAAGAATGAAATCAATGGAAATGATGGGCGTTTAGTGACACTGCACTATTAGTGCATCATCAATTTCCCTTCGGGATCAATAAAGTCTTATCTATCTATCTAGTGATTCCGATTAAAAAATAGTGCATGTCGTTAATTTTTACTGCTACTTTTGATGAAGAGAATAGTAAAGTTTTGGGAGACAGTTGTTTTGTAGGGGATACAGATTACAGTAATTGCACAAGTTGCTTTTTCCTGATATACATTTTACATTGGAGATGTAATTGATATTAACATCATGAGTCTACTGACATCTGCTGTCTTAACATAATTAGCAAGTATAGTATTGTGTTAAGAGTTCCAAAACTGCAGTTAGGTAAAGTAGCAGAACATAACTTCACAGGTAACTTGCACCTACCTTGGTTGAAAAAGGAACAGCTGCAGTTGTTAGGAAAAAATACTGAAGTGACAGATACTTTAATAAAACTCAAACCACTTGACTTATTGTCGTATGGCGAAAGAACAGGATGGGGAAATTGAAGCACTAAGAAGAACAAATGGACACCAGTAGGATTTCAGTAGGTTTTGTGTGGTCATACAAGACAATTCTGGGATTCCTAATAATCTGTCCTTTTTTAGCTTTGTCTTGTGATATAATGCTAAGCATAGTCTTTCAGAACAATTGCACATCAGTGTCCCATGCACTAGATATTGAGTCAATATAACTTTATACCCAGACAATCAGCTGAGGAAAGTAACTCTGGAGTGAAGAATGAACTCTTAAGTCTGAACATTCCTTTTAAAATTAATTTCCTTTCGTCACGATTCATACAGTAAATACATGCTGGGAACGTCCTGGGAATCAAGACAATTGGAAATTGTTGTGGTTCTGTGCAATGCAAAGCTAGGTTTTAGATTTTACCTATACAATACACATACAGCTAATTGAGTTCGGCACTGCACAGTAGTCTGTGGAAAGAATTAAGAACTACAGAAGGTCAGCTTTTATAGTACTGGTTTTCAAACATAGAATTATACTGTGATTTTAAAATATTCAGGTTAAGGAAAATGGACAAAAGGATACCAAGTACAAATGTACTAAACAGGGAAAAAGCACTCAATAAACAAACTAATGTCAGACTCCCATCATGAAGGTTTTTTTGTCTTTATAAATTGCATTAAGCAACACGTTATAGATATATAAGGAAATTGGGGCATTAATTAGTCTTTTAAATCACATTAGTCTCTATCATAACAGTAATGAGACCCTAGAAATATGTCAGTTTGAGCAATTTTTTACAAAGCAACTAAAACAGTTTGTCTTCAAAGCCTTAAATGGTTTCAGTGCAAGTAAAGAGAGACATAATAATCACACACTGTCAATAGTTATGTGAGCAGATATCTAAAAGTTGGTGTACTAAGGCTTTGTTCACAAATGCACATCAATATTACCATCTCCTGAGAAGAATGTACTGTATACAGCACAGTAAGTGTTTCTTTCCATCACCAAATCAGTATTTCCATCATAGAGCAGCCTGTATTCTGCTAAGCTTAGCAGGAAAACTGTGTGTGTGCTCTATTTGTTATTTTATATAGCTGTTCACAAAAATATTATTCTCTGTCCACATCTTAAAGTTGTTTTACATAGAGAGTATATGGAACTGCAGCACCATAAGAAGTACACTGTAGTACTGATTTCGATGCTTAAATGTTTGAACATTAAGCTAAAACTTTGGAGTTTATTGTTCTGTCTTGGATTTTATCTGTTGGAGGATCACATTATTTGTTAAATGAAGGGGATTAATTAGTAAGAGTTTAGAGAGCCTCTTTGGTTTGAGGCTACCTCATTACCACCAGTCACTTTTTTTCTGCTGTCAGATATCTTTTACAAGCCCTTCATGTATCTTTAAGCCAAAGGAAAAAAAAACATAAGAGATGGTGGAATGCTGTGCATGCTGCCTTTAATTAATTAAAGCCAAAATGCTTTTCATAAATATACAGTACTTCTTTTTTGCCACATTTTATTGTAAGCCCAGCAGAAATGAAATCCAGTTCATTATCACAAATGCAGACTATGACATTCTTTTGAGACTCATTAGAATCAAAAAGAAACATAGTGACAAAGAAATATGGTAATGAACTCATTATAGTCCATAACAAGCTTCCTGTTTAACAAAGGAAATGTAGGTCTAAGTGATCATTTTAAAGGCATTAACTGCCCATTAATAACATTTAACTTATTACAGCCCTTGAGTTTTAGTCCACCTAATGCTACATTATTATACTTCTTCATGTGACATGCAGAATATCGACACCATTAAAGACTCTTTTCAAGATATTATATAAATTTGTATTATATTTGAATGAAGTAGTCATCATTTTGGATGAATACTTAAAAATAAATGCAAGATATGTATAATATACTGTATATAGCAGTGAACTTGTGTATACCACTGTGGAGTAGTTGTTTTTGCTCTGAACTAGACGGTTGTGAGTTAGATCCCAGGTTTTTAGCCATTCAGCAAAATACAATACTATTTCATACCAAGCAGTATTAATGTCAGTTGGTTTGTCTGAAGATATCTGCCAAAAAAATGAATAATATAAAACATACTGTACATAAAGTACATAATTAGCAATGAAGAACAGTTATGTAAACTGTTATGAAAAACTAGCGAGATCACTCATTTTTGCCTGTGAATTTCATCATACACTACCATTGAAATCGATAAAGAAGATATGAAGTAGAATTATTAATGAGATTTTTCCTGGATTAAGAACAGCATGACAGCAGTACCTATTGCAATAGACTCCCATGCAGTCATTTTGAGTGCAGCACAGACCTGTAGTCAGGACTCTAGACGTGGCTCTGGGAGGGTTCCTGGGTTGAAATCTCAGGCGGGGCGCACCTGTTGTACCATTGAACAAAGTACTTCACTCACGTTGCTCCATTTAGTGCCTTTGTCTATACTTTTCCAGTCTATAGATTATCATTGTAAATGTGAATGTGTTCTCTATTGACTTTTCTGGTTAAATAAAGGATTTAAAAATAGAAAGCTAATGGGTAAGATCTTATTTTCAAGAACACCATTTGTGCCCACAATTATCAGTTATTGTAAGATTTAATTAAATAATTTAGAAACCAAAAGGTCCATGGAATCAAAGTTAAATAAAGTTATAAAAAAGTTAAATAATAAAAAATAATAAATTGACAGTCCATGTTTTTTTTTTTTCAGGTGGTCACACAGTAACATTTGACAGAAAATGCAACAAGGGTTGTGGCTCTTCAGATGGCTGGGAATTGGGATCGTTATCTTTACTTTCTTCACCATCAGCATGTCTCAAGACAGCACAGAAGGTACGTTATATGTAACTGTTGCAAAACCGTTTGTATAGCTGTGTCACATAATAACCCAAACAGTCTAAAACTACTGTATTAGAACCAAGTGAAAAACATTTTGAAGCTGGTAGGCAAGAATGAGGAAAAAGTTACAATATTGTTATTTTTCTTTTAAGATTCAATAACTGAAGATGATTTGCCTTAAAATTAATTGACAGAAGTGTGTGGTTCAGGATAGTTATATTTAAAATGATTATGTAGAAGCTTTCTTATTGTTTGTCACCAGCAACTTTTCAATGTCCTTTACAATAATTAAAATGTATAAAGGTCTATTTTAAATTTGAATGTGGGATTGATTAATTTGTGCTTATATAGTGCTGTTAATACAAACTAATCAGTTTCTGAATGTGGTCCCTTTTTCTTTAGAACTTATTGACATTAGAATCATTAAATCCATTATAGAAATCCCAACCTCATCACATGCACCTGTCAGCTGGGTGATACATTGGTTCTCCTTGTCAGTTTTTTAGAACCCATGTCACGTATGCATTTTGTCATGTACCATTATTAGCATTTGACCTCACCTATCTTGAAATTAATATTATTGATGCTATTACCCAAATAATTGCTGTCCAGTCATAAGCACAGTATGATCAGATTTGGTGAAGTACATACAGTAAGCATATATGAAGGTTACAAATGAGAAGAGGCCATTCACACAGTCTATCTTGTTTGGTTGGTGCTACTGTAGGCGTTTAAATCCAAGGTTTTTGTCAAGGCATTCCTTGAAAGAAGCTTCGTCTTTAGTGTAGCTGGGCAGCTTGTTCCAGACTCCACAGAAGTGCCTCCTTTTCTGTCTTATTTGCATTTCCCCTAGGATTCTACTTGTGTCCACTGGTTTAAGTGTAGTTGTTGATCTTGAAGAAATCCATTGGGTTAACATTGTATGTACTTTTAAGAACTTAAATCACATCCCCTTGCAGTCTTTTTGTGCAGGATGAAAAAAAGTTTTTAGCTTCTCGGTACAGTACATTTCTTTGAGCTGAGGATCTTCCTGGTTGCTCTTCTTTGGACCAATTTCAGGAAAAGAGTGCCATTTTGGTAATATGCTAACCAATTCCCTATACAGTAGTCTAAAAGAGAGTTTGCTAAGGTATTTTATATTTTAACACAATATCCTTTTAATTATGCACTTTTGACAATATCACTGTGTCATATTATGGCATATTATATAAGGCTTTATTTGCTTCCTCATATCTTTTAAATCTTTTTCATTGGTAACATCTTCAAGCTCATACTTCAATGTTATTTCCCATTTTATATTTATAGCACTAACTACAGTATATTTATATGAACTGCTGTGTATAGTTTTTGCTACTTGCTTGCATCAGACAGAACTATACAGTATAACTTCACACATCTCTAAATTTAGTTTTGAGTTGTACAAGTGGACATAACATAATCATCACCTTTTATGTATTTTGTCTGTTTTGTTAAGTTCTAATTTAAAAAATCATGTTTACCCTGCCTGTTTTGCTTATAGTTCAAACCTTTTAATCCTTGCCAGTGTCCCTTTTTTAATTTATTTATTTTTTCAAGCACATCTGGATCCAAGAAGTTCCAATGTCAGATTCTGCAATGATAATAATAAAAGATCAATCCAGTTAATCTCTGCTAATTCCACAAGACATTGATGTTTCTTGCTATTTGCCTTTTCCTTACTGCCACCTTAATACTGTAGCTAGTTACAGTATTTAACTTATAAAGTGCCCTCCAAAAATACCGGGACAGCAGAGTCACAACTTTTCAGTCAAGTCAAATTAGTTTTTTGTTACCGTGAGAATAAAATGAAATGGTACAGTAAGTACATTATAATACAGTATACATTTTATTTTATGGTAATTCCATGTAGGGCTTGGCAATATGACCTCAAATCAGTATCACAATAATTTCACACATTTACCTCGATAATGATAAATTAACAAATATTTTTTTGAAACCCTTGAAATTATATGATTACATAATATGCTGCAAGATCATGTTTTAAAAATGTGAAACTATTAAAGATGCACACACCTCGTCTTTTCTCAATCTTACAAATAATTTCATTTTTTTATAAATTATGCTAGAAATCTGAATATGCTGTACATCTTATGAAAAAAAGATCAGTTTTAAATTGTTTTACAGTAAAAGGCAAGTTGAAGTTGCCTGAATTACTAACAAAAATAGAAAATAATGTTTCACATCCATAGTGAACTTTCAAAATGAATAATGTAAATAAATAAAATCCTCCCTTATGTTAGTCTTTCGGTGTTCATGATGAAACATGTTGCTAGTGTTACGTTTGGATCCAGAAATGGTTTTCCGACAGAGTTTACATCTGACTTCTCTTTGTTCAGAATCCTGTTTTCTGAAGACAAAATATTACCAAACAATTGACTCTGCATCTTTTTTAGATAGCAGATCGTCTTCATATGTACTTGAATGCCCGACTGGGGATCAGCTTTAGTGCTCTTTTTGTCTCATACCCGGCACGCTTCTTTGTGTTTTGAATGAAGAGCGAAGGTTGGACGAGGCAGAAGCATGTGACTGGATATGACTACCAGGTGTTGTAGTTTAAGGGGACCGCTTATGAAAGCACACAGTGGGGAAAGCTTTTATCTAACATACCGGCCTAAGTAAAATGAGAGATTCTTAAAGTCGGTATCGGTAATTTTCTGGTATATCACCCAGCCCTAATTCCATGCATAAATTTGATCATATAAGAACAAATATAGACTGTGTGCACATTCCTTTGAGGCAAAAACTGTATAAAGTCAGTGGCCCATTGAGCTCATCTAATCAGTTGAGATGTTTTCCTACAGCTACTCTGAGTTCTTCTTGGGGAGTTCCGGCTTCATTTTTCCTCAGCACATACTGTAAAATACATGCTCAGTTGAATTAAATCTGGAGATTATCTCGGCCAATCTAAGATTTTACCCTTTTTTTTCCTCCTGAGGAAGTCCTGATGAAGTTTGCCGTGGTCATTTTGTCGCTCAATCAGTAGGGAAGCATTTTCATCTATATAAAAAAAAAAAAAAATATTCTGTAATTCCACAATTCATTATGCCACCATTTTGCCACCGTTGTAACAGTGTGGGAGTGGGAGGAGCCGGGGCGAGCACCCGTAAAAGTTGCCGCCCTGTCTGAGGTGGCAGAGGCACTGGTGTAAAGTTAGATGAAAAGCTCCTTGGAGCATCAGTAGTTCCTTTCTTTCTCCACACCTTCACCTTTCCATCAAATTACAGGTTCAGCTTTTCCTCATCTGTCCATATAATGGTTTACCATATCTCCCCTGGCCCATCTTTGCTCTTTGCATCTGGATCCTCTTTTCGTAGTGGTGATGGGATCTGTAGTGCTGTAGCCCTTGTAATTCTCTTGACTCGGTCTTTAGCAATCTGTGTTCTTTGATACCCTCACCACTGCACCCTGGAGGCTGTTGGTAATTTCACTGACAGTTCTTAGGGTTGTCCTTGACAGCTCTGAATTTTCCTGTCATCAACTGCAGATGTTTTTCTTGGCTCACCCAGTCTTGCCTGATTGGTAATTATGTCTGTGGTTTCTTTCTACTTGAGTATATTCCAGAACTGTTGTTTCTAGTGCTATGTTTATGGCTCTGATTATGATTTGAATTTTTCAGATTAAAAGTTGCTTGTTTTCTTTAATAAAAAGTTATTTGATTTTCATTTTCATTTTCAACTATTGATTCAAAAAGGTTAATTCAGAGGTAAATTGATACAGTAGGATGTTAATGACTTTTTATGAGTGGCTTTTTACTCCGTAACAAATATTTGACCATCAAGTAAGGCATACTTCTATACATTGATATTTTTTAGTTAATTATGGCAATGTTCTTGTTTTTCTAGTGCTGTTTTTATTGAACTTTGACCAACTTAAGGATTAAAGAGTCTGAGAAATGTGTTTAGTATGTAAAAGATTAGCTGACTATATGCAATCCCATGTGTATATTCTAGCATGGCCAAGCTGTATATCTTGTTACACTTTGCTCATAAGAGAATATTCTGTTTGAAAATTATCTTGAATTTACGAGTAAGATTTGATTGTGCATTTGATTTGATTTGATGTTTATGTGCATCTCGCTTAGTGTGATCAATGATATACATCTCTTTGCTCATGTTGTGAAATTACAATTAACTAATTGATATTTTTATTCTAATGCGTGAAAACCATCCTTAATTGATATTATTTAATTTTCCAGTTTACATATTTCAGATTATTAAATTGTTCTTGCCTTGGAGCACACTGTTCAATTCTTTAATGACCTCCGTATACAGCTGTCCATTTTTAGTCTATACTTTGTCCTACCTGTGACTTCATTCCATCCATACACTAAATATGATATGTAGATCAAAGGGCCAATTAGAAGGAACACACTGCACATGTAATTACTGTATACTGTGGTTTAGAGGTTAGGAATTTGGGAGGCATTTGTTCATGAATGAGTCACACTGTTGTGATCACAGCAAGAGAGCTGTTTATAACATCAAAATAAAATTGTTGTGGATAATAAAATAACAAATTTTGTGTTGCAGGTTTTTTTTATTATGTTGCCTATTAGACTAAAAGGCAAACAGAGAGCAAAGACTGGTTATATATTTCTCTTTGTTGCTGTATTTATTTATTTATTTTTTTTTATTTCTGTTGTTCTGTGCTATTACATGTTCTTTGTACCAATAAAGATAGATCTTTTATTTCTGGAGTGTTGTATTCCCTGGTTTATTGGAGGAATTAAGTGACCAAAAAGCTGTTTATTTCTAAAGTAATTGTAATTGGAAGTTATCAGACACCAGATTCCCTCTTTCAGTAAAATCTTTGATATATGGAGAATGGGACTAATTAAACTAACCCACAGTGTGAAATCTTAGAAATGATTTTTTGTGTAAAATGGGATCTAAACTAGCAAAATAACCTTGGCGAGTTCAATCAGACAGCTGTCTATTGACCTCTATCCTCATGTG